CTACTTAACCTAAACCAAAACGTAACGTAACCTAGCTCGTACCGTACCGACTACCGCCGTTCGGTCCGGTACTAGACGTAGTATTCGTCTGTACACGAGAACGACGGTAGTATATATATATATATATATATATATAGACAGATAGATAGATAGATATAGATATAAAGCCTATATAATCACACAGAAAGAAAAGAACAGAACGATGTTTTCCTCGCGTGCGCCCGTGTGTGATGAGGAGCGATCGCGCATGCGTGCGCATATGTGAGTGTATGCGATTGTATGTGTATGCCTACGTGTGTGGGAAGGTGGTTCCTACGCACGCGCGTGTGTGTTGGGGGGGGGTATGCGTGTGCGTGCATTTGTAGGAGGGGGTGCGTTCGTGCGTGTGTGAGTTGGGAGGCTGCAGCGCAGTGTCGAGCGTGCCCCGCATGAGGGGCCTCTTTTCTTCTGCTCGCGCTCACCCCGCGGGAGCGACAGAACGCAGCGTTAGCTATTATGGCTGGAGCACTAATGACTTACAATTTTCATGGCGGCATTATAGTGTAAGGCAAGCGCACGATAAGCTCAGACAAAGGCGAGCAGAGGCCGAACAAGTGGTGCCAACAGTTACAGACTTTAAGGTTAAGTAAATGAAAAAGGCGTTGAATGATTCAGGGTCCCGCAACGCTGTATACCGTGTCTGTATGTGTGTATATACATGTTGTACAGCATCTTGCCGAGTCGTTCCATAAAGGTTAAAGTAACAAACTAAAGCAGTGAGAATCTATAATACTCGTTGAACCGACAGGATGCGCGATAAAAGATACAGGGATTTTATTCATCGCACTGCACGCCACTATTCTACTAGTAGGTTATCGAGAGGGACAGCACATTGCGAACACCTATACAATATTTACGTTCGGTATATATGTTCTAATCGAAAAAATGTCGTTAGGGTATTTTTCTAAGTTAACATAAAATATTTCAACGCATATACATCGCTAAACCATACACCCAGAATGTGCCATTGACTATATATGTGATTAATATATATACATATATATATATATATATATATACATATATATATTTATGTATATAATCACATATGTTAGTTCCTTTATGCATTCATTAGTCATGTTGTCGGGTGGCGACTTACTAGGATTGGTATTACATCAGGATATCAATATCCTGGAGACACCCTCTTAAGAGCATCTCTAAGCCATCTCACATTTGCATGTGTATAAACAACAACATGCGTCGTTTCATATATCGGTCGTACGACGACGCGACATCTGCTTGTTGCCGCGTCGTCTGCTCGCTGCGACGCTCGTCGCCTCCGCAGACGCCGCGCCGTTACGTCGTCACGTCTCCGCCGGAGATGCAATCGTTCGTCGTATCTCCACATCATCAGCTTGATCCGCAGCCAGCCAGCGCCGCAGCACCGTCCCGCCGCCGCTTTCACGGACGCAACAATGTGCCGGACACTGACCACCATTACAGCCATCAGCGGCAATTGTGACCCCTGACCCCACGCCCAGCGTGGCCACCTCTTCACTCCCGGTCTTTCTCCGCGGGCCCGGTTTAATGACGAGACAGCGCGCGGGCGGGCACTAATGACCGGGGAGGTAAATTAACACCTTTTTGTCTATACGTACTCGACGCGTGAATGGGCGCGCGAAATTCTGGGCCGCGTCGAGGGCTGTTGAGCGCTGTGTGTGTGTGTGTGTGTGTGTGTGTGTGTGTGTGTGTGTGTGTGTGTGTGTGTGTGTGTGTGTGTGTGTGTGTGTGTGTGTGTGTGTACGTGTGTACGTGTGTGTGTGTACGTGTGTGTGTGTGTACGTGTGTGTGGGTGTGTGTGTGTATGTGTGTGTGTCTGTCTGTCTGTGTGTGTGTGTATGTATGTGTGTGTGTGTGTGTGTGTGTGTGTGTGCGCGCGCGTGTGCGTGCGTGTGTGCGTGTGCGTGTATGCGAGGAGCTGATCGCAGGTGTGCCTTCCGGGCCGGGCCGGCTGCGTCGGCGAGAGGCAGAGAGCGGGCACAATGTGAACGTGGCCGCCGCACACTAATAGCTGCCGGTCAGGTTACATAAAGCCGCCGTATCCTAGCCAGCATCGACAGACGCTGCAGCACGGTGTCTCCACCGTCGTACAGTACGTATACAGTCAAACCTAGCGGACACCTATAGAGAACGGCTACCTGTCAATAAAATGTATATATTTTTTCGTTTCTCATAAGTTACTGTCAGATGCAGGTTTGACCATGCGCATCATATAAGATATCGCTTGCTCCGACGAGCGGCGAAAAACAGCCTTCTGGTTTGTCTCTGCAGACGATGATGTATTGGAGACGGTGGCAGAACTGCGCCGAACACAAAGGGATGACGGATTCGATCGCAAATTTAGAGCTCGGTGGTTCAATCTCGGATACCTGAACAGTTACATGCGTCGAAACTGGCCGCGCTAATTGAAGTGAACTCAAGTTCGTGTTGCGATTAAACATAAATGAGATCAATGATTTCGACCATAGCACGTTAAGTAAACGCTAATTAGTATACATTACCAAAACAAAGCTAAACATGGCATGATTCAGTAAATCGACCCCCAGCAAATAGATCTGCAGCGTGTTCATGTTGGCAAACATAATATACAGACAAATAGGTTTAATATTGAAAACAATTCTTGAAAGTGACCTCAGAGTTAGCCCCACTGAATTTTGCTATATCGTCACGGTATACGTGAGGGTACGTGAAGTTCATTTACAAACGCCTATATACAGCGTATAGTCTACAATATTATAATATGCATGCTCTAGTCTTGATAGACACCGTCCACTATCCAACTATACCATTAGTACATAACACGTATCGCCTCGTTCTTCAAAACTTGGCCAACGTTGCGGTAAATCTCGAGTTGCCCATCAGTCGCGCGCGTTATCACAGTTATTGGGTATTCAGTGAATGCCACGTACAATTACATGTAAGCGTTTCTTCGATGACTGCAGGCATGATTGCATATACGCCGACGTAAGGGAATAGAGGAAAAGATAACGCGACGGCGTATAAGACGTCGCATGGATGTGCACGTCCGTCGTGTGTGCGTGCCTGCGTGCGTGCGTGCCTGCGTGCGTGCGCCATGCATTTGTGCGCAGATTTCCGTCGTGTGCGTGCGTGGGCATTGACGATACCTCTAATAAAATTACGTCTCCGGTATATTAACGTCGACTCTAGGAAAATTACACACGAAAGTAGGCGCCATTAAGCGTCACATACGTGCATGCCGTACACCGCGACAACGAGTGTCCCTCTCCTCCACACCCACTGATGTAAACTCCACCGTATTTCGTGCGCCGCCAACTGTGGCGCATTTCTCGAAGGCGAGAAAATACGCAACTTCTACACGCACCGCCGTAAGACCCTGCGATGAATCACGCAACCTGCATCCATCGTCGGCTTAGCGTTGGAGACTAAATATTACATGCAGCGACGCTGGCGACAAACAGCACGCGCGCGCCCGCCCGTAAAACGCAGCGTTCTCGACTAGCGCGCCATTATTGCCTATGTACACAAACACGACAGATTTGTCGCTATCTTTTCCGCCACACCATTGTGTCGTAACAGGAGATTATCCGTCAAACATACATAATCGTCACAAAGCCACCGAGCCGTGCATAGTCGATGCATTTTTGACGGCCCGCTCGCTTACGGAAGCGATTTGCTATAGAAACGTAAAGGCAATCAATTTGAACGCGAATATATGGATACGCGGAAACGTGTACCATGCGAAGTAAGTGTTCTATAATGGATGATGCCCTTTATTATAGTGCCATTGCGACGCTACAATTTTCGGTGGATGAATGAATTGGCAACAGCTATGTCAACAGCTATATATACTAGTTTGGATTATAGCGAATATCTACAGAATATACCAATATTACTCCCCATCTATATATTTTAATTTAGCTCGATGTTTTTGTCAAGCATTGGGATTTTTTCTGGTTCTGTCTATTTTACCTAGTGATCCCTATGTGTCTATCTCTCTGTGGCTAATACCCACGGCATACAGTTCCCCTACATTTACTCGCT